ACAATCTCTGCCCACTGCAACCTCTGCCTCCCGTGTTCAAGTGATTCTCCCACCTCAGCCTCCTGAGTAGCTGGGATTACAGGCACATGCCACCATGCCTGGCTAATTTTTTGTACTTTTAGTAGAGACAGGGTTTCGCCATGTTGGGCAGGCTGGTCTCAAACTCCTGACCTCAGGTGATCCATCCACCTTGGCCTCTAAAGTTCTGGGATTAGAGGCGTGAGCCACCCATGCCTGGCCAGAAAAATCTGAAGCTACCAGGAGTGGGGTATGAATATATTTTCTCTTTCATGGTAGTATTACTCCATCTGTTTCAAGAGCTAGCTCGCTCGCTCTCTCTTTTTTTTTTTTTTTAGTGACAAGGACTCACCTAAGCTGGAGTGTGGTGGTGTGAACATGGCTCACTGCAGCCTCAACCTCCAGGGCTCAAGTGATCCTCCTGCCTTAGCTTCCTTTGTAGCTGGGACCACAGGCTTGAACCAACACCATGCCTGGCTATGTTTAAAATATTTTTGTAGAGGCTGGGTCTCTCTTTGTTACCCAGGCTGGTCTTGAACTCCTGGGCTCAACTAGTCCTTCCACTTCAACTTCCCAAAGTATTGGGATTGCAGATGTGAACCACTGCATCTAGCCTGACTCTACTTTATTGTTCATGCTATAAACATGACCAAAAAATGCTTTACATGTCTAATAGTTTATAAATACATATACTACATGTATGCTGTTTAAACAGTTATCTTTTGTGTATTTACCGTGTGTCAGGTGCTTTGGATTTTAAGACGAAAGCACTGTGTTTTATCGTTAGATGGTTACTATTTAGTAGGAGAAAAGATAGAACAGAAATTTTAATACAGTTGGCCCTCTGTATTCATGAGTTCTGTATCCATGGATTCAACCAGCCACAGATAAAAAATACTCAGGAAAAAGAAATTCTACAAAATTCCAAAAAAGCAAAACTTGAATTTGCTATGAGCTGAGTGCTACATTTAATCTATGTGAATGAAGTGACATGTGGGGATTGTATTAGATATTACAAGTAATCTAGAGATGATTTAAGTAGACAAGAGGATGTGTGTAGGTTATATGCAAATAGTATGTGATTTTATATAAGGAACTCGAGTATCTGAGGATTGTGGGGGTATGGGGTGGGTACTGGAACCAATCCCCTACAGACACCAAGGGATGACTTTATACATTAGGTGCGTCTACAGGAAAGAGAGAAAGTTGCTAATCAAGGGCTAATGCTAGTGGAAGAGATTCTGGTAGGGAGTCAGGGAGAGTTTGGAAAAGCTATCCAAAAAAATTGTATTTGAGCTAAGTGGTGAAAAAATGGGTAGAGATTGGTTAGGTGAATAAATGAGAGTTGGGAGGGAAGAGGAAGTAAGAGAAGACATTCTAGACAGAGGGAAATAGAGGGAACTGACCAGATGTAAGGGATATTTCTTAGTTAGAGTCAACAGGATTTGGGAACTGTTTGGATACAGGAGAGAAGTTGGAAAAGTGGTAAATCTAAGGTGATGGACAAGTTTTCTAGTTATGAAGACCAAATAGGTGATGCTGTTTATTAGTGATTCTGAGAGTGTACACATACAGGTTTTTTAAGACAGGCAGATATCTAGTGAGCCTTTGGTAACATTTGTCTAGGATCCGGAGAGATGCTGAGGCTACAGATAAACACTTAGGAGTCATTATCATCTAGATAGTAATTGGAAATCATTTAAGGGAATGAGCTCACTCTGAGGAATGATACACCATTCTGTCAGTGTAGCAGACGTTTCAGACTGGTGACCTTCTAGTGAATAGGGTCTCCAGGTTTGTTTTTTAAATTTTTGAATTATTTGCCATCTATTTATATTTACAGATCTAAAAGTTGTACATAAAAATGTAAATCCCAGACTTTTCATGAAAAAAGAAAATCAGAATGCCTAACAGAAAATAGCTGGCACTGAGCGGCACACTTCCTCTTTATGTGCGTGTACCTTACGGTTTGCCATAATTCCCACTGCTTCTTGTATATTATAATGTTACTTGCCTGACCCCTGTAGCATTTAAATTCAGGAACTTTGGTATTATGTGACCAAAAGAGTTTTAAGAATGGAACCGTGGAATGGGTGGTAGAGAAGGTAAGTCATAGAGAAGGAGGCCCCACTGACAGAATGGTATATCAGAAGCCAAGAAGAGAAAAATTGTTTGGGGGGGGGTTATATGTGTTTTTTCTTATTTAGAGATAGGATCTCATTCTGTTACTCAGGCTGGAATGTGGTGGTACGATCTTAGCTCACTGCAGCTTCGAATTCCTGGGCTCAAGTGTTTCACCTCAGCCTTCAGAGTAGCTAGGACCGCAGGTGTCTACTACCATGCCTGGTTATTATTTTTTTTTACTTTTGGTAGAAGCAGGATCTTGCTGTATTGGCCAGGCTGGTCTTGAATGCCTGGCCTCAAGTGATCCTCCTGCCTCGGCCTCCCAAAGTGCTGAGATTGTAAGCATGAGCCACCATACCTCACCCTGAGAGTTAAGAGTTTTAAGAATTAGAGAATGGTCAGCTGTGTCAAAAACTAGAGAAAACAAGTAGGAAGACTAAAACACGCCATTAGATTTGACACTAGATCAATAGTGAGAGCAGTTTTAATATAGTAACGGGCTTGCTAAGTGAATGGGAGCAAGAAGTTATAGCTAGCAAGTATGGCCTACTCTAAAAGGGTCTCTGGTGGGGAAGAGAAGAGGGTGGTAGCTCTTCTGTGTGTTTTTATGTCTCATGCCTTCCTTTATTTTGCATGTCTGTTTGAAATCAGATTTCATCACCAAATTCCCTGTGTAGCCATACTGGTTTCTTTAAAGTTAAAAGTGGCTGGGAAGGGGGGATGATGGTCTTCAATGACAGGAAGGTGGATTGCATGAAGCAAGCATTGGGGAAGGGAGGGATTTGAGAGTGTCACAGAACATGAGATTAGGAAGGTGGGTTGGAGTTAAATTATGAATGGCCTTTATCCTAAAGAAGTTAGGATTTTATGTAGAAGGCAATGAAATCCAGTATCATTTTTATGTATCATTTATTTTTAGTAACATGATTTTAGAACTGGGGTTGGGAAGACTTGTGGCAGGCAGATCAAATTATGAAACTTGTGTATCCTTGTAAGAGATGGTGATTTTTTAGTAGAGTAATCTAAAGCCTGCAGTAAGATGGAGAGAGCTGACCAGATTTAAAAGATGCTTATAAGATATTTCTGAGTTAGATTCAAAAAGATTAGGAGGGCAGAGTTCCTGTTTACTTTATTAGCGTATTTTACCAACGTGTGATACAGTTTATGGTGATCAATAGTTGTTTTTCAGAATGAACGAATGAATATCTGTTATAGTGTTGTCAGAATTTCCTCTCATCCCTTTGAAGTTTTTTTACTTTTTGGAGTTTCCTTTTCAGGGTATACCTTTTAGCTGAACTCTCTGAATGCTTTTCAATCAGTTTTAAATATATAAATATATAATTAACTAGGTCTAATCATTTTTTTAAAAAACTATTATTAATTTTTAAATGTATGGTCACAGCCAGGCACGGTGGCTCACACCTGTAATCCCAGCACTTTGGGAGGCCGAGGTGGGTGGATCACTTGAAGTCAGGAGTTCAAGACAGCCTGGCCAAGAAGCCCTGTCTCTATTAAAAATAGAAAACAAAATTAGCCAGGCATGGTGGCATGCACCAGTAATCCCAGCTACTCAGGAGGCTGAGGCAGGAGAATTGCTTGAACTTGGGAGGCAGAGGTTGCAGTGAGCCGAGATCACACCACTGCACTCCAGCCTGGGTGACAGAGACTCTGTCTCACAAAAAAAAAAAAAAAAAAATATATATATATATATAGTCATCTTTCTGTTTCTGTTGATTTACAGCTAGTTCTTGCCTGTTGGTTGACCTGAGTCTGTGGTAGCATCTTTACTATTTCTGAAAGAAGTGGTCGCTACAACAATTTAAGCATCTGTGGGATGTTTGGGTTTAGCAAATGAACATAATAGCAGTGGTCATTGTAGTAAATGTGCATCAGAAATGCATCGCACTGATCTATCGTGTGCCTCTACCATAGTAGCATTTCACTTTTCTCCTTTTAACCCTACTTAAATATATACTATCATCCTTATACTGTGGCAAGGAACTACTATGTTGAATTCCTACTATTTGCTAGACATAGTAGTATGCATTTTATATACATTACTACAGTGAATTATTCTTATCAGTTACATTTCACACATAAGGAATATGACTTTCAAAAGAATTAATGTGTTCATAATCATAGTCAAGTAGTGGCTGAACTGGGAGTTTTGGCTCAGATTATTGTTCCCCAAAAACAGGCTTTTTTTTTTTTTTTTTTTGCTCTTTTGTGTGTGTGTGTGTGTGTGTGTGTGTATTATAGCACACATATATACACATATATATGCATATGTATTAGTACATATTTCACCGTTAGTTCATATCTCCAGAAATATTTATTTTGCCATATTTTATTTGATTTTATTTGAACATTTCCCACCTTCAGTTTTCCTTTTATTCTAGGTTTTCTCATATAAATTTACTTATAATACGCACAACTCTTATTGTTTCATAATGGTGTGTGTGTGTGTGTGTGTGTGTGTGTGTGTGAGATGGAGTCTTGCTCTGTCGCCCAGACTGGAGTGCAGTGGCGTGATCGTGACTCACTGCAGCCTTGACCTCCCAGGCTCAAGCAATCCTCCTGCCTCAGCCTCCCAAGTAGCTGGGATTAAAGCGCCCACCATGACGCCTGGCTAACTTTTTATATTTTTGGTCGAGACAGGGTTTCACCATGTCGGCTAGGCTGGCCTGGAACTCCTGACCTCAAGTGATCCTCCTGCCTCAACCTCCCAAAATCCCAGGGAGCTGGGATTACAGCTCCCAGCCCTGTTTAATAACGTCTAGATTTCAAGTACTTTGAGGCAGTTTTTATAAAAATAAGGAAAATAAAACAAATCAACATTATTGATTTCTGTTTCTCAGGTTTTGATGGACATGTTTGATCAGGATGATATAGGCTTGGTTTCTCTCTGTGAAGATGAACCTAGTTCTTCCGGTGAATTAAACTACTATGATCTTGTCAGAACTGAAATCGCAGAAGAAAGACAGTATCTACGGGAATTAAATATGATCATAAAAGTGTTTCGAGAAGCCTTTCTTTCTGATAGAAAGCTGTTTAAACCTTCTGTAAGTACCTTTTTGGGTTTGAAATTCTGTGTACCCCCCAAAAAATAGCTTAAAATCATAAATAGTCACTTTTTTTTTGAGACAGAGTCTTGTTCTGTCGCCCAGGCTGGAGTGCAGTGGCGTGACCTCAGCTCGCACCACTGCAGCCTCCACCTCCCGGGTTCAAGCGATTTCTGCCTTAGCCTCCTGAGTAGCTGGGATTAGAGGCATGCATCACCACACCCGGCTAATTTTTTTATATTTTTAGTAGAGATGGTGTTTCTCCACGTTGGCCAGGTTGGTCTCAAACTGCTGACCTCAAGTGATCCACCTGCCTTGGCCTCCTAAAGTGCTGGGGTTACAGGCATGAGCCACTGCACCCAGCCCATAAATAGTAACTTTAAATACTTTATGAGTACATAAAAAATACTTTTATGTATTTGTGGGCTTTATAAACATGTGAATTGTTATAGTAATATAATAGGTACAGTGACAATGAAAATTAGGCACAAAATTAGAAAGATATTTATACTGGGGTGAAATCATTTTCCTCTATGCGGTATCTGATATTTAGAGTCATTCATTTGGAGTTGGTGAAAAAGATGTATGGTCTAGGAAAGAAAGACCTCTGCATTTTTCTGTCTTTTGGTAAGTACCTTAAGGCAGTAGTTTAAAGTTTTAGTTTGAAGCTCAGAATATATGGGGTTAAAAAAAATAAAGTTTTAACAGTGGAACTTTTAAAAATAAAAGTTTATGCAGAATGCCATGTTTAACAAACAAAAAAGGTTTTTTTCTTTCTTTATCACATGATTTATTTTTCCATGTCTGTATGTTTGGCCCACACTTTAAAAGTAATTAGTCTTGGCCAGGTGCAGTGGCTCGTGCCTGTAATCCCAGCTGTTTTGGGAACCTGAGGCAGGAGGATTGCTTGAGGCCAAGAATTTGAGACCAGCCTGGGTAACAGAGCAAGACCCAGTCTCTACAAAAAAATTTAAAACTTACCTGGGCATGGTGGCACATGTCTGTAGTCCCAGCTGCTGGGGAGGCTGAAGTGAGAGGTTTGCTTGAGCCAGGAATTGGAGACTTCAGTGAGCCATGATCATGCCACTGCACTCCAGCCTGGGCAACAGAGTAAGACCTCAGCTCAAAAAAAGATACTTAACCTTTGTCTTATTTGTCTTTTACCTCCTAACTTCCTCCACAAAGTAACTATAATGTGAGTAAATAACAGTGAACTCAGACACAGGTGGCTGAGTATTTAAAGTTAGGAACAGATTTAGCTTTTCTTTTTCTTTTCCAAAAGGATGAGTTTAAATGATAATTGGAAGTGTTTTAGTTGGCCATTATGTTTTTTCTTTTGGATATATGTTTAGTTTAACAATGTTTATAATAATTCCCACTGGGAGTACTATCGTAAGTAGTCAGAACATTATGTTTTTCAAAGTACTGATCTATTTTATGTGATCCTTATAACAATCCTGAGGGATAGATTGGGCAGATATTATCATATCTACTTTACTTGTAAGGAGATTGACCTTATTACTATTTTTTTAAATATAGTTAGAGGTCTCGCTATGTTGTTCAGGCTGGTCTTGAACTCCTGGGCTTAAGCAATCTTCGTCCTCAGCCCCGCAAAGTGCTAAGATTACAGGCTTGAGCCACTGTGCCCAGCTGGAAATTAACATCTTAATCAAGTTAGTTATAGAGCTTGATCTTGAATGTGGCTTCTTTTCTACCACATTATAATTGGATTTTGTCTCTAGTGGTATGAAGAATAAAAACCTAATAAATGCTGGCAGCTATTGTTATCTTTGTCTTTTCTGTGTCCCATCCGTTTTCATTCCTCAGGAATTAATTTTTATGGATCTCTTTTCACTGGATTAGTGCTGATATGACAGAAAATGTCTGTTTTAATACTAAAGGGTCAGATGGAAGAGAGAATCCCTTTTCTCTCTATCTCTGTATCTATTATAAATTTTTTAGCTTTAAGTAAAATATAAACTTTTGAGGTAAAGACTATCTAAAATCAGAGCATAGTACTCTACAAATGTTAAAGGAGTGAATGACTTAAAAATGATCTTAAGTGACTCCTTTTGCCCCGTGTCCTGTGTTTTCAAAAAGCTCGCATTTCTGGAAGGCCTAATATGTGCCAGGAGCATTTAACAGAAATCATCTAATTTAACCCTAAGAAGCTTACGAGCTGGGTATCATCAGACCAAATGTGTGACAATGGGCAAATTACTTAACTGCTCTATGCCTCTGTTTCCTCATTTGTAAAATGAGGATGATGATAATACCTATCTAATAAGGATATTAGGTTATTACATTTCAAGTGCTTAGAAGAGTGCCTAGAATATAATGTGCCCAAGAAATGTTAGCTGTCATTATTGTCCTTTTCATTCCTAATCCAAGGTCATTCATCTGGCATGGTGTAAAAGGGAAAAACAGTTTTTCTTCTCTAATCTTTTTTTTTTTTTTTTTGAGATGGAGTCTTGCTGTGTTGTCCAGGCTGGAGTGCAGTGGTGCAATCCTGGCTCACTGCAACCTCTGCCTCCCGGGTTCAAACGATTCTCCTGGCTTAGCCTCCCGAGTAGCTGAGATTACAGATGTGCGCCACCATGCCTGGCTAATTTTTGTACTTTTGGTAGAAATGGGGTTTTACCATGTTGGCCAGGCTGGTCTCAAAATCCTGACCTCAGGTGATCCGCCTCCCTTGGCCTCCCACAGTTCTGGGATTACAGGCGTAACCAACTTGGTGTCCTGTAATTCAGCTCAATTTTGACATTATTTACCTAGAAACAGTGTCAGATCTCACAGATTAAGGACTCAGTCCCAACACGACTGTCTCCTACTTCAGGCACCAGTTGAAAGTTCCAGGTTGTGAACTGTGCTCCAGACTGATCATTTATAAATTGGAGTTCCCATGACCCACTCCTTGGGTTCCATTAATTTGGTGGAACAGCTCACAGAAATCAGGGGAACACATTTACCAGTTTATTATGAAGGATTTTAAAAGGATACACATGAAGAGATGGACAGGACAAGGTATGGGGGCACAGAGTTTCCAAGCTCTCTCTGGGCAAGCCACCCTCCTAGCACCTCCACAAGGTCAGCAACCAGGAAGCTCATCAAGAATTTTTACGGAGCTTGATCTCTAGCTTCTTACCCCTGCTTTTTTTTTTTTTTTTTTTTTTTGAGACAGGGTCTGGCTGTGTTGCCCAGGCTTCAGTGCAGTAGCACCATCTTGGCTTACCATAACTTCTGCTTCCTGGGCTCAAGCGATCCTCCAGCTTCAGCCTCCTGAGTAGCTGGGACTGCAGGCACACACCACCCCACCTGACTAATTTTTGATTTTTTGTAGAGACGGGGTTTTGCCATGTTTCCCAGGGTCTTTCCCCAACTTTTTATAGGTCAGTGGGTGAGGCTGAAAGTTGCAACCCTCTGATCCTTTTTCTTTTTTTCATGAGTCAGTTTGGTTTCAAGTAACCCTTCAATCCTCTAATCATCTGGTCTTTTTGGTGACTGGCCCTATCATGAAGTTATCTAGGGGCCCTACCGTAAGTAACCTCATTAACATAAACTCAATATTTATCAAAGGGACTCATTATGAATAACAAAAGACATTATTATCACTCAGGATATTCTTAGCATTTTAGGGGCTCTAAGACAGGAACCAGGGACAAAGAACAAAAATATGTTTCATATTATACCACATGTGGTAGAGCCAGCATCCAAGCTCAGATCTGTCAGGTTCCAAAGCCCGTGATGTTTCCATTATAAGATGCCAGAATGTATAATAGTTGGCCATAACCTGGATGGTCAGTCATATGATATGTTTGTGTTCAGAGGTCTTGAACGTGTCTTATCCTAGATAATAGCTATGTGCCACATACGATGTTTTAGTCAGTGATAGACTATGTATACCCATATATATGACGGTAATCCTGTAAGATTATACTGTATTTTTACTGTACCTCTTCTGTATGTAGAGATGTTTAGATACATAAATACTTACTATTGTGTTACAGTTACCTACAGTATTCCGTACAGTAACATGTTGTACAGGCTTGTAGCCTGGGAGCAACAGGCTATACCTACCTATGTGGCTTAAGTGTTGTAGTATATCATCTAGTTTTGTGTAAGTACACACCATGATATTTGCACAATGACAAAATCGCCTAACAGTGCATTTCTCAGAACATACCCCTGTGTTTAAGCAGTGCATGGCTGTAATTCACAGATGGGAGCTTGGATGAAATCTGTAATTCCTTCTCAGATCCAGGAGGTGGCTTCCAAATTGTGAAACCAGATTGTAGCAGGATTAGGAGTTATCTTCATTCTCATCCCAGCTCTTATCATTAACCTATAAGACTATATAGCCTAAGCTATAAGTAAAACCTAGGGCTCTGTAAGACCTTGATCAAGTCTTTAAGCGACTTAGCCAGTTTTAAAACACTCAAAATGCCAGAATTCTTTAAGTAAAAAGTAGCTTAGAATCATCCACAGTAGGAGGTTTTAGATTTAACAAAACTATCTGGAATCTATATTTTGCAGTATTTTTACTGTCTGTTATCCAAGAGATTTTTAAAATTCTCTTCCTGTTCATGATTGATTTTTACTCTGTCTTGGAATATATTAGTCTGAGATTGAATGAAGATATACCCTTAACTCATATTGTTTGTTTTTTTTGTACAAGCAAATCTCTTTATTTCCAAAGACCTCTCCAACCCAAGTTAAAAGAATACACACTATGATTCCATCTTATATTAACATCAAGATGTACATGTTTGAAAATGGTTGGAATTTTATACTGGAATAATGCATACTAAACTATTAATAGTTTCTACCTCTGAGGGACATGGGGGTAAGAGGGGCATGATAGTAAACATTCATATTTTGCTCTCTCTGTCTTGCGTTTGAATCTTTTGTAATGATAATACATTCACATGTAATAACTTTTATTTTTACAAAGAATGAGTTTTTGTAGAATGCAAGAACAAAATGCAAAAATTCTGCTATAGCTTGTTGACATTTAATGCAAATATATTGCTTTATATAATATGCGAATTGTTCAAAAGTGATAACAGCTTTAATCATGCTCCCAATAAAATATTTGCTAAATAAATTATACAGTTTATTCCATAAATTTAAAAACATGTAGAAAACAATTATCACCCATAAATTAAATGATGTATTTGGTTCAGGGCTGGCAAGCCCCAAAGTTGGGGCTTAGCTTGGGACAGTTCTTGGCTTTGTCCAGGAAAGAAGCCAAAGGCATGACAATGGTAGGAACCTCTGCTGAAGCGGCAGTGTACAACAGCAGCAGAAGTACTGTTTCTTGTGGAGCAGGGCTACTCCGTAGGCAGTGTGCCTAGAGTAGCCTGTATTGCTTTTTATATTTAGTATTTTTTAAGCAGAATTCTCAATCTCACATTTCTTAACCTTTCCTTCTGTTTTTTTCAGGATATTGAAAAGATTTTTAGTAACATTTCAGATATACATGAATTGACTGTGAAACTTTTAGGTTTGATTGAAGACACAGTTGAAATGACTGATGAAAGTAGTCCTCATCCCTTAGCTGGCAGCTGTTTTGAAGATTTGGCAGAAGTAAGTTTACAAAACTACTTTATATTCTCATTAAAGTCCTAAATGCTGTACTAAGAAATTTAGAGACAAGTCTTGGCAACATAGTGAGACCTCATTTCCATAAAAAAATAAAATAATTAGCCAGGCATGGTAGTGCCCATCTGTGGTCCCAGTGACTCAGGAGGCTGAGGTAGGAGGATTACTTGAGCCTGGTAGATCAAGCCCATGATGTGTCACTGAACTCCATCCTGGGCGACAGAGTGAGACCCTGTCTCCAAAAAAAAAAAATTTTTATGAAAATTAGAAGATACCACTGGCCATTATAAAAAGATATTTAAGATTTAACCGATAACAAAGTAAAATCACATTGCCTATATAGTGACACTTTCTTTATAGTGTATTTATGGCAATATTTATAGTAAAAGTTTATATACTAGAGTATTAATATTTGGATTTTTTTTTTAAGTGGTAAGTATGTTCAAGATGAAGGAAGATACATTTTATTGACCATAGCTCTTTACCTTCTGTGGATTTTAAACTTAAAGTTGGAAAGAAGGTTTATATTATTTTAATGTTTTCCGAAGTAAAAATCTTTTTGTTGTCTTTTAAATGACTATAAAAATAATGTAGCTCATTGTAAAAATATTCAGAAAAATAGAGAGATATATAAATTGGATGAAAGTCACCTTATTTTATGATACCCATAGATAACTTATCCTTATATTTTTCTGTGCATACATACAAACGTATGTGTGTTTGCAAAAATAGGATCCTACTATTTTATAACTTACTATTTTTACTCTGTGCATCATAAACATTGTCCATGTTAATGTATATACTTCAACACAATTTTTAAGTATAAATAATGTGATGTTATATGGAGACACCATAACATATTTTAACTATTATCCATAGGTTGTAGAGTTTTTTCTTTTCTTTCTTTCTTTTTTTTTTTTGTTATTGTAAACAACACTGCAACAAACATGCTTGCACTATGCCTTGATATTCCAAACCTTTTTTTTTTTTTTTGAGACGGAGTCTTGTTCTGTCACCCAGGCTGGAGTGCAATGGCACAATCTTGTCTCACTGCAACCTCTGCCTCCCGGGTTCAAGCCATTCTCTTACCTCAGCCTCCTCAGTAGCTGGGATTACAGGCGCCTGACACCATGCCTGGCTAATTTTTTGTATTTTTGGTAGAGACAAGTGTTTCACTATGTTGGCCAGGCTGGCTTCGAATTCCTGAACTCATGATCCACCCGCCTCGGCCTCCCAAAGTGCTGGGATTACGGACATGAGCCGCTGTGCCCAGCCATATGTTCTAATCATTTTTAAGGATATATTCCTGCAAGTGGAATTTTAGTGCTAAAGACTAGGTATAGTTTTAGAACTTTGAAACGTTTTGCCACATTCACTTCCAGATAAGTTCCAGTGTATGTAAGCTTCCTTCTTTCTTCACCCTTTCCCTTCGCTAACTCTGGGTATTACCTTATTCTTTCTCTTTTTAATTCTTTTTTTCGAAATTTGTTTTGTTTTCATATCTGGTTCTGCAGATATACCATTCATTTTTGCCAGTCTAATGGGAAAAGAAATCTTTCTTTCTTCTCCTTCTCTTTTCTTTTTTCTTTTCATTTCTTTCTTTTCTTTTGAGATAGGGTCTCACTCTGTTGCTCAAGCTGGAATATAGTGGCACAATCATAGCTCACTATAACCTCGAACTCTTGGGATCAAGTGATAATCTGTACCATATTAGTAGAAAATATATTCTTTTAAACCTAATGCTTTTTCTCTTTTTTTAAAAAATAGGAGCAAGCATTTGATCCTTATGAAACATTATCACAGGACATTCTTTCACCAGAGTTTAATGAACATTTCAATAAATTGATGGCCAGACCTGCAGTTGCTCTACACTTTCAGGTAAACTTAAATTGAAGGGTTTTTTTTTGTTTATAAAGCAAATCAATAAATATCTCACTATTTTATCCTTCAAATATTTGTAATTCTAGAATACTTTTAATCCTTCAAATCTTGTTCATTCTAAACCTATTTTAGTTTATCTTCTGTTTTCTCTCTGGAGTTCTATCTGTTCTTATTGTAGAAATCTTTTATAGTACAACATCACGAATACTGAATGACCAGAAGAATTTGGCACATACTAGATATGGGATGTAAAGATGAATCTGGCCGGGTGCGGTGGCTCGTGCCTGTAACCCCAGCATTTTGGGAGGCCGAGGCAAGTGGATCACTTGAGGTCAGGAGTTTTAGACCAGCCTGGCCAACATGGTGAAACCCTGTCTCGACTAAAATTGCAAAAGTTAGCTGGGCGTGGTGGCGGGCTCCTGTAATCCCAGCTACTCAGGAGGCTAAGGCAGGAGAATCACTTGAACCCGGAAGGCAGAGGTTGCAGTGAGCTGAGATCACACCACTGCCCTCCAGTTTGGGTGGCATAGCGAGACTCCGTCTCAAAATAAAAAAAATAAAAAATAAAGATGAATCTGGAGTGTGATTTGAGGATTATGTTCCCTATAGGAGGAAGAATTGGAGAAATCTTAAAAAGTTGAGATAACCTCAACCTGCTATATACTCATACTGATTTTTCTATGAGGCCTACTATTTAAAGGAGATAAATACGGTATTGAGGGAGAGTATGCAAGTTAGTTGGTTCAGGAATACACTTAGATAAAATGAAAATACGTGGAGAGATACACACAATAAAATTTTATTTTTACTATCTCAACACTAACAACAAAAGTTATGTTGGCTAGGTGATACTTGACTAAATGTGTAAAATTTCTACATCTAAACCAACTTTTCCAGCCGGGCGTGGTGGCTCACGCCTGTAATCCCAGCACTTTGGGAGGCTGAGGCGAGGCGGGTGGATCACGAGGTCAGGAGATCGAGACCATCCTGGCTAACACGGTGAAACCCCGTCTCTGCTAAAAATACAAAAAATTGGCTGGGCGCCTGTAGTCCCAGCTACTCGGGAGGCTGAGACAGGAGAATGGCATGAACCCGGGAGGCGGAACTTGCAGTGAGCCGAGATCACGCCACTGCACTCCAGCCTGGGCGATGAGCAAGACTCCATCTCAAAAAACAAAAACAAAAAAAGTTATGTTGGCATAGGTGATACTTGACTAAATGTATAAAACTTCTACATCTAAACTGACTTTTCAAGCCAGACGTGGTGGCTTGTGCCTGTAATCACAGCACTTTGGGAGGCTAAGGTCAGAGGATTGCTTGGACCCAGGTTTTTGAGACCAGCCTGGGCAACATAGGGAGACCTCGTCTCTACAAAATATAAAAACTTAGCCGAGTGTGGTGGCATGCAAAGAGAATTGCTTGATCCTGGGAGGTCAAGTCTGCAGTGAGTCATGATCATGCCTCTGCACCCCAGCCTTGGGTGCAGGGTGCGACCCAGTCTCAAAAAAAATAAAAATTAAACATAAACTGGCTTTTTTACCCCTTGACATTTGAATATGGTAAAATTTTTATTGTCCTAAAACAAGCAAGCAAACAAATGAACAAACCTTTCTTTAGTAGAATAAGTAACTAGAGTGAAGAAAGTTTTTTCATTTCCTCTCTCATTTTTTCTTTACAGCCAATTGTCTTTATATTATTTTTTACCATTCTTTATGAAAACACTACCATGTATGTTTTAATCAGGATATAAATTGCCTTTGACAAGTAACTTAATTGCCAAATCCAGTAGATATTTTTATTTCATACTTATATCTGTAGTATTTGTTACTCCTCTTGTCTCTGGGTTCCTGTATACCTGAAGACTGGCCGTGATGGCTCATGCCTGTAATCCCAGCACTTTGGGAGGCTGAGGTGGGTGGATCACCTGAGGTCAGGAGTTCAAGACCAGTCTGGTCAACATGGCGAAACCCTGTCTCTACTAAAAAATGCAAAAATTAGCTGGGTGTGGTGGCAGGCATCTGTAATCCCAGCTACTCAGGAGGCTGAGGCAGGAGGCTTGAATGTGGGAGGCGGAGGTTGCAGAGAGCCGAGATCGTGCCACTACACTCCAGCCTAGGTATCAGAGCAAGACCCTGTACCCCCACCCAAAAAAAAAATATATATATACATATAGATAGAGATACACACACACACACACACACACACACAAGCCCAGTGTGGTGGTGCACACCTGTAGTTCCAGCTACTACAGAGGCTGAGGCAGGAGGATCACTTGGAGGCAGAAGAATCGCTTGAACCCAGGAGGTGGGGGTTGCAGTGAGCCAAGATTGCACCACTGCGCTCAGGCCTGGGCTACAGAGTAAGACTCTGTCTCAAAAAAAAAAAAAAAAGAAAGAGAAAGAAATACCTGAGACTGGGTAATTTATAAAGAAAAGAGATTTAATTGGCTCAGAGTTCCACAGGCTCTACAGGAAGCATGGCTGGGGAGGCCTCAGGAAATTTACAGTCATGACGGAAGGCAAAAGGGAAGCAGGCACGTCTTCACATGGCCAAAGCAGGAGGAAGGAGCAGGGAGGTGCCACACACTTCTAAACAACCAGATCTCCTGAGAACTCTATTACAAGAACAGCATTAAAGGAAGAAATCCGCCCCCATGATCCAGTCACCTTCCACTAGGCCCCACCTCCAACATTGGGGATTACAGTTGAACATGAGATTTGTACGGGGACACAAATTCAAACCATATCAGCTCCTATGATACTACATGTTCCCAATTTTCATCTTCTCTGATTTCTTCTTCTCAGTCTCTTAATTATAGCTATTACCCAACTTCTGTTATCAGCCCCTGTTTTTCTGTTCTTCTGTACTCTCCTTGGGTGACTTCATCCATATCTATATACTGGTGACTTCTTATTTGTATTTCCAGACCATCACTTTCTTTTAAGCACTCTGTATATATGTGTATGTGTCTATACACTTTCATATAACCAGCTGCTTTGAATTGATGCACTTGGATACCCTAAACGCACTTCAAATATGACATGTTTAAAACTGAAGTTACCATCTTCTCCCTGCCTTCTTTACTGTAAATTCCCATTATTTATTATCTTCCACTTCTCTACTCTCAAAAATTTGTTATCATGGAATAAAAATTATACTTAATTCTCAAAATTACTTCAAGAGAGGAATATTTTTAAAGTTAACTCATTTTCATATAAACCATAAAGTATGCATTAAATACACAGTCTATAAGAACTTTGGATACTCATTAAAAGCACTCACAACACATTCCTTGTTTCAGTCCTATTTTATTAGAAATTTTTGCTGTGGAATTTGAATGTTAAAGGGCCCAATTATTAATAAAGCTGTCGCCCTAGATATTCAGTGAGATTGGAAGAGTTAGATGAAATCCTTTTTCAGGCCAAACCCACTTGTTTTAACTTTAAAAAAAATTCCGTGTAAGATAAAATAACGCTTCCTTAATAAAACTAAAATCAAAAAGCATCTTTAGAAGCTGTGTAGCATACTTTATTTAGAGACAGTGTCTCACTCTGTTGCCTGGGCTGGAGTACAGTGGCACAATCTCAGTGCATTGCAATCTCCACCTCCTGGGTTCAAGCAATTCTCCTGCCTTAGTCTCTCGAGTAGCTGAGAGTACAAGTATGGACCACCACGCCTGGCTAATTTTGGTATTTTTTGGTAGAGACAGAGTTGCACCATATTGGCTAGGCTGTTCTTTTGACCATGAGGCACCGTGCCTGGACTGTATAGCACACTTAAAAAAATAAGATTTGAAGTTAGAACTTAAGGCTTTGGGTCAATTAATAGTTTTTGTTTGTTTGTTTGTTTGAGACGGGATCTCGCTCTTTCACCCAGGCTGGAGTGCAGTGGCATCATCTTGGCTCACTGCAACCTCTGCCTCTTGGGTTTAAGCAGTCCTCCTGCCTCAGCTTCCTGAGTAGCTGGGACTACAGACGCATGCCACCATACCTGGTTAATTTTTGTATTTTTAGTAGAGACAGGGTTTCACCATGTTGGCCAGGCTGTACTCAAACTCTTAACATCAGGTAATCTGCCTGCCTCGGCCTCCCAAAGTGCTGGGATTACAGGTGTAAGCCATCATGCCCAGCCCCAATTAATAGTTGTATTACCTTGAGCAATTCACGTAATCTCTGAGACTCAGTTTGCTCATTAGTAAAATGGTGATCATAATGATATATATCTCTTATAGTTATTAGGAAATTAAAGGGTAATATATGTAAAGCATAAGCATAATGTTTGATGTGTATTAAATACTCAAATGTAGCTCCTATTATTGTCAGAGGACTCCTTACACTGTAAATACATGCTACAAAAATTTTATAATGCACTCTGTCAGCCATTGTAGTACAAATTAGCAAAACAGTTGATCTTGTAGACTAATTTTGAAGTTTCATATTGGTTTCATTTCAAGCACTATATATAAAATATCCAGAGTAATTCACTATATTAATTAGATTAATGCTGTCTTATTCAGGCTGCTCTAATAAAATATCATAAACTGGATGGCTTATAAACAATAGAAATTTACTTCTCACAGTTTGAGTTTGGAAAGTCCTATATCAAGAGGCTAACAGATATGGTGTCTAGTGAGGGTTTGCTCTTCTGGTTCATAGATGGTGCTTTCTTATTGTGTCCTCACATGGTGGATGGTACAAACAAGCTCCCTTAGGCCCCTTTTATAAGGGCACTAATCCTGTTCACAAGGGCTCTGCCCTCATATCCTAATCACCTCCTAAAGGCCCCACCTCTTAATACTGTTGCATTGGGGATTAGGTTTCAATATATGACTTTTGAGGGAACACAAACACGCAGATCATAACAAATGTCAAAATGAATTAATCTTTAAGAAAATTGGTGGCACTTTTTGTGTATCCTAGTAAGAAGTTTGGTTACTGGGTAATATGTCTGTTGAACAGATTATAGTTTAACTTTAACAAAATGTGAAAATTATGGGAATATTTTTGAAGATTTTTTAAAAGCAACCTACCAGATTCTTTCTCACATTATATATTGATGTGGTTGGTATTTTTCTTATGGCAAGAAATACCAGTAAGTCAACTATATAGACGTTTAAAATTAACATGAGTTAAATCCATTATAAATTTTAGAAAACCATTTATTCTGCAGTAGTTTCCAAAACTGGGGTATACCTATCCCAAGCTATATACTAAGATTTTTCAGGATATGTAAAGGCACAGAGAGCTTTAAAGGAATCTATTTCTAGTCTTTGGAGACGTTGTTTATGTTTTTTGCATTGTCTTTTCCAAATTCTCTTACTTGTTAACTTTTGCTGTATGTATTTCCCATTATGCATTGATCCAAGATGTGAAAACCTCTAGGGCACCAAACAGGAAAAAAAAAAAAAAAAGTATTACCTCTATGGGAGAGTTCACTGAGTACAAAGCAAAAGAGTTTGCAAAAGAAGGTTATAGGGGGATGCTAGTAAAAATTCTTGGTAGCCAAAATGTCATATCTATCTATGTTATGTCGTATCTATCTGCCTAAGAATTAAGACGTGATATGCTTATCACAAGGGTTTATATTAACCTTATTGTAAGTACTTTATCATCATTTAGGATAAAGAAGAGGAGAAACTTGTGAAGTTCTCATATCTTGATGTAATATGTTAGAAGCAGTTGTAGTTTCATCCAGAGGCTTCTAATCCTTGAGACCATGACATTAATATGTTCATTTGAATTTAACAATAAAGTTTGACTTCTGACAAAGACTGGTGTTACTGTTTATTTTGACAGTGAAGATCGGCTTTGTCAATTAAGTCGTATGACAGACATTTTTCATAAATGAGCTAAATCTGAAATTTTATTCAATTATTGTTTGGTGAAATACATATAGATCACATTTACAGTATACAGCATCCCCTGAAATGCATCTTTTGTAACTATGTAAATTTAAAACATTTTAAAATTCTGCAAGAGGGTACATAGCTTCTCAGAATTCCTTTAGGGTATATGGAAGCCAAAACATAAGCTGTAGAGGATTATTGTGAAAGGTATTTTAGCCATATAAAAGAAAACGAATGTATATATTTCTCTAATAACTTAAAGGAGGAAAGGAAGAAAAGAACAACTTGATATACAGCACTTCAGTTTCAATATAGAACATGCATTCTGTTGTAGTTTTGATAAGTCTGTATCTCAAATTTTTAGTGGCCGTTTCTGTTAGGCACTGCTGTTGCATGTCCTTGATGTCAGAGACATACTGTGATATCTTTTTGCTTTGCAGTCTATTGCTGATGGCTTTAAAGAGGCAGTTCGTTATGTCCTTCCACGTCTTATGCTGGTGCCAGTGTATCACTGTTGGCACTATTTTGAGTTACTAAAGGTAAGATTTTATAACATAGAATCTCAAAGTACTTATCTAATAGAAAAGTTTACTTTTTAAAATTAATGTTGGAGACACACATTATCAGTCTTTTAGTTCTTATTTTATGTAATTAATAACTTTTATATATAACATTGCTCTAAATTTCTATCTTGTTTATCTTATAAAAGAAATAACTTTTGAAGTAATATTTTTTTCTGTGCAGTGTTGTATTCTTCCTCTCTTAGCTGGGACCCAAGTAACACATTAAAAATATATGTATAACTTTACAAAAAAAGATTCTCTGCTCTATTTTAATTAACTAGCCAGCCACTAGTCCTGGTCACATTGGCTAAGAGGGTTTGGGAGGCTAGTGATTAATTGGTGGCAAAAGTAGCTGTGGTTTACGATGAGTCAGGCCATTATAGTCAATGACCTGATCTTAAATGCAGACCTAGTAGCAGGGATTTTAAAAAAGCAATCATCCAGGTAAGGGAAAAGTTTTTTTTTTAATTATGAGGTGGCAATGTTAGAGGGCAACTCTAAGACTAATGATAGGACTTCTAATAAGACATAAACTACATTTTTAAAAATTTAGGCATCCAAATATACATCTAGGGCTGCTTATATATTATTCATATGAAGCCTGCATATCTTTTGATGAGTTCTTTATGGATCCATTAGTATCCATGGAGACTTACACAATGAAGTTGCTCATCTATTTGTGGATAAAAGCTGGCTTCCTCCAGCATCAAATGCTGTGGGTAGTAGCACTCCATAAAAAAGAACATAAAAAAGAGATAAGTATTCATTAGAAGTAATCATATATATTCCTTGCCTAGATGCCTACAAGATATACATAGAATTATTCTGGCTTTTATTTTAATGTTACTACCGTGGATTAGATGGAAAAAGTTTTAACTATCTAAACCAACGATGTGGTATCCTAAAGGAGAGGTACAAAATAATCAAGCAGAAAGATACTTTGCTTCTAAAGAGCAGTAAAAAAGTTGGAAGCTGGACATGGTGGCACAAGCCTGTAGTCCCACCTACTTGGGAGGTTGAGATAAGAGGATCACATGAGGTCAGGAGTTCAAGGCCAGCCTGAGCAACATAGTAAGACTCTGTCAAAGAAAAAAAAAGAAAAAAAAAGTTGAGAAAGAACATTTTACCGAGCAAGATATGTAGGAATTACAGTTGAGAAGGGGCCATAATCTGAAAGTAGACAGAAGTTCTTAGATGTTAGCTAGAGTCAGTGAAAATCAGTAGCAGTGATAGAGATAAATGAATGGATTGTCACCAGAAAATCTCCATCTCTCATATGCTCACTTTGGTAATCACTCCTACCTTTAAAAGATCAAGGGAAATTGTATAAGGAATTAGAAATGGGAAAAGAAACACTCATTGATGAGTTCTCATGCTTGTCCAAAGGCAGCAGATATTCTTATTACTAGGTAGTAGTAATTTTGGGCTTTAAAGAATGAATAAAGAGAGCCAGGTGCGGTGGCTCATGCCTGTAATCCCAGCACTTTGGGAGCTCAAGGGGGAGCAAATCACTTGAGGCTAGGAGTTCGAGACCAGTCTGGCCAACATGGTGAAATCATGTTTTTAGTCTCTATTAAAAATATAAAAATTAGCCAGGCGTAGTGACACATGCCTGTAATCCCAGCTACTCAGGGGGCTGAGGCAGGAGACAGCTTGGGCAACAGAGCGAGACTCCATCTCAAGAAAAAAAAAAAGAAAAGAAAAAAAAGAATGAATAAAGAGAAACTACCCATGTCTGATCAATGAAACTGTAACCCTTAGACTAAATATGGAGTATACTCAGTTTTAATTAATGCACAGCAACAAGAAGAACAAATGGAAATGTGGAATAGAAAGACAGGCCTTAGAAGAGATTAGAAATGGCAAAAGATTTGAATCACTTCACAAAACAGGATATCCAAAATGGCAGTAAACGTGTATTCAAACTCATTAAAAGTCAAGGAAATGCAGTTAAAACCACAGGATACCATTACATACACACCAGATTACAGAAATTTGAAAATCTGAAAATATCCATAAACAGCAGCATGAACTATTTGCATTCAGCTAGGAATGAAACTGTATAACCCACTTTGGAAAACTGCTTGGCATTACCTTTTAAATTAAAAAATATGCATACTGTGTGACTAGGCAGTTCCACTCTTGAATATATACTCTAAAGAAACAAAATGCATGCACATGTATACCAAGAGAAATGTACAAGAAAGTCTATACCAGGTGTCAGTAATAGCAAACCCTGTTTGCCAACCAGAAAAGGGTAAATAAATTGTGGTTCATTCAGGTAATGAAAGAAAATTACACTAGAACAACACACATCAATGACGCTTACAAACAAACTTTGAGAGATAATATTTCATTGGTGTGTTATACCATATTTATTTATCCATTCATCTGTTGATAGACTATTGAATTTTTTTTTTTTTTTTTTTTTTTTTTTTTTTTTGAGATGGAGTCTTGCTCTGTCGCCAGGCTGGAGTGCAGTGGTGCGATCTCAGCTCACTGCAACCTCTGCCCCCGGGTTCAAGCAATTCTCCTGCCTCAGCCTCATGAGTAGCTGGGACTACAGGTGCACGTCGTCACGCCCGGCTAATTTTTGTATTTTTAGTAGAGACGGGGTTTCACCATGTTGACCAGGATCGACTCGATCTTGTGACCTGGTGATCTGCCCATCTCAGCCTCCAAAATGCTGGGATTACAGGCATGAGCCACCGCGCCTGGCCGACTGTTGGATTTTTTTTTTACCTTTTGGTTACTATAAATAATGCTTCTGTGAATGTGGGTGTACAAATATGCCTTTGAGACCTTGTTGTGAATTCTTTTATGTGTATACCTGGGAGTGGAATGGGTGGATCATATGGTAATTTTATCTTTAATTTTTTGAGGAACTACCATACTGTTTTCCATGGTAACTGCACCATTTTACATTCCTACCAACCGTGCACAAGGTTCTGATTTCTCCACATCTTTACCAAACCTTGTTAATTTCTTTATTTCTTTCTTTGAGATGGAGTTCCACTCTTGTCGCCCAGGCTGGAGTGCAATGGCATGATCTTGGCTCACTGCAACCTCCGCCTCCCAGGTTCAAGCGATTCTCCTCCCTCAGCCTCCCGAGTAGCTGGGATTATAGGCGCCCGCCACTACGCCCAGCTAATTTTTTGTATTTTTAGTAGAGACAGGATTTCACTATGTTGGCCAGGCTGGTCTCGAACTCCTGACCTCAGGCAATCCACCTGCTTCATCCTCCCCAAGTGCTGGGATTACAGGCATAAGCCACCATGCCTGGCCTGTTTTTTTGTTTGTTTGTTTGTTTTTTAATAGTAGTTATCCTAATGGATACGAGGTGGTATCTCATTGTAGTTTTGATTTTAATTTTCTTAATGACTAGTGATCTTGAGTATCTTTTATGTGCTTCTTAACTATTTGTATATCATCTATTTTATTGTGGTGTTTTTGGAACAGGGTCTTGCTCTGTTACCCAGGCTGGAGTGCAGTGATACAGTCATGGCTTACTGCAGCCTTGACCTCCTGGGCTCAAACGACCCTAGTACAGTGAATTAGAGATAAATTGATAATTTATTGGAATTTCCCTTTTCTATGGGCACACATGTCCATAGTAGATGTAGCATTTGGTAGGAGTTTCAACAAAAGCAGGGTAAATATTTCAGTGAAGTCTCATACATAATTAAGAAAAAACTTACGTGAAATATAAAATCTTGGACAGGATACACTTATAGACAACTAGGGATAATGATGAGTATCAGGTAGCAAGGAATATATTCTTCAGCTGGGTTCATAAGATATTACCCATTAAAGCCAGGCACAGCAGGTCACGCTTGTGATCCTAGCACTTTAGGAGGCCAAGGAAGGTGGATTGCTGGAGCTCAGGAATTTGAGACCAGCCTAGGTAACATGGCCAAACCCCATCTCTACAAAAAATTAGCTGGGTGTGGTGGCGCATGCCTGTAGTCCAAGCTACTAGGGGGTCGGAGGGTTAAAGCAGGAGGATCGCTTGAACCTGGGACATTGAAGCTGCAGTAAGCCAAGATCGTGCCACTGCATTCCAGCCTAGTTGACAAAGTGAAACTTTGTCTCAAAGAAAAAGGAAAGATATTACCCATTAATAAACAATCACTTTTATTTTTAATTTTAAGCATACATAGCAAGGGTGTCTTTTCTGTTTGACCTCTTTTCCAAAGTACACTCATTTCATTTTATTTCTTAAACTCAGTAGTTATCCAGTTTGTTTTCAACATAGAAAGAATCCATTTCAACTCAGTGGTCATCAGATTTAGACACAGACCAGTGTTTTGCGTAGCTGTGTCTGGTGTCATTGTAGAGCGACAGGGTGTTAGTGTAGCAAAAAAGCAGAGACTTTGGGGTCAGAGCTCCTGGGTTTGGATACAAACTCTCTTATTTATGTTGGGCAAATTACTTAATTTCTCTGTGCCTCATTTCCTTCATCTGTAACATACTATAATAGTACCTTGTCTTACAGAGTTGTAATTAAAAGTTAAATAAGTTAATACATAAAAGAGGGTGCCCAGAATAGAGCTCAAAAAACATTCATTATTGGTCTAAATACTTAACAAAATCATACAGTAGTCATTTATTCCAGTTACTACTGACAACCACCTAGTGGGTACCTACCACGTGCAGGTAAACTAAAAAGGAATAAAACATGTCCCTAGGCATTAAGGTGTTCACAATTTAGTGAAGAAAATAGATGTCAAACAAATTACAATATTATAAGAGCCTAATAGAAGTAGTACTATGAGATCAATAAAGCAGGAGTTACTAGCTCTGCTTAGGAAAGTCAGAAAAAAAATCATATTAATTTTTCCTTTGTTTAGTAAAGTAAAAAAAAAAAATTGGTTTTGGGTATATAGGGATTCGTCCTACTGAGAGAGAGCAAAGAGTGTGTGCGTGTGTGGGTATGTATGTGTGTGTGTGTCCTTATTTATTTGGGGGAGTCGTGAAAGACAAATGCTGAGGAACTCTGCAGAGTAAAAGAGACAATAGAAACATGACAATTTAGTGCATCATGGACCAGTTCCTGTTTTGGGGGAAAATATTACCTTAAAGGATGTTATTAGAACAATTGGCAAAATTGGAATATACACTATAGATGAGATTACAGATTAATCAGTGTTAAATTTCCTGAAGTTGATCACTATACCGTGATTCTGTAAAAGAAAATCCTTGTTGTAAGATGAACTATTAGAAACATTAAAGGAGTAAAGGAGAGTGATACTAGTTGAGAGTAATTTGTGATACATTTGACGTTTCTTTATATTTCAAAAACTACTGCAAAACCATTCAGCGATAGTCCCCCTTCCTGTGCAAGGAACTGAATGGATAGTATCACAAACTACTGAAAAAACAGTCTGCACACACTGGCACACAGAATGATGAAGCATGTGACAGAATGTTAAAAATTGGTGATTCAGAGTATTACAGGAGTTATTTGTGTTACTTTTACTACAACTTTTCTATAAATTTGGTATTTCAAAAGAAAAAAATTTAAGAGGGAAAAGGCATAATCAGAAGGCATCTTCAAGAGGAAGCATTTCAACTGTGTCCTAGCAGCTAAATTCACCAGGTGGATGAGGAGGTTAGAGACTGATATGTAGAAAGCTAACAGGGGCATGAAAGTGCATTACTTATTTGCACATAGTTCAGTACAGTAATTTTTCTTTTTCTTTTTTTCTTTTTCTTTTTTTTTTGAGACACTCTTCCCCTGTCACCCAGGCTGGAGTGCAGTGGTGCGATCTCGGCTCACTGCAAGCTCCGCCTCCCAGGTTCAAGTAATTCTCATGCCTCAGTCTCCTAAGTAGCTGGGATTACTGGCGTGCACCACCACATCCAGCTAATTGTTTTGTATTTTTATTTTTGTGTTTTTTATTTTTATTTTCATTTTTTGCGGTGGGGGGGAAATGGAGTCTCACTCTATCACCCAGACTGGAGTGTAATGGCACAATCTCGGCTCACTGTATTCTCTACCTCGCATGATCAGGTCATCCTCCTACCTCAGCCTCCCAAATAGCTGGGACTACATGTGCACATCACCACGCCTGGCTAATTTTTGTATTTTTTGTAGAGACAGGGTTTTGCCATGTGCTCAGGCTGGTCTTGAACTCCTGGACTTAAGTGATCTTCCCGCCTTGGCCTCCCAATATGTTGGGATTACAAGTGTGAGCCACCTTGCCTGGCCCAGTAATTTCTGTGTAAGATGTTTGGAATATATTCTTTTAAGTATCTGTAGAATATTAGTTGGATATTCATTAATATGATGTTTATCAAACCTCACTGCTGAAAATTCAAGAAATAATTAGCAAATTATTGGATTATTTTGCCAAACAGAGCCATTGTTTAATATACCTCCATTACCAGGAAATTCCACTCTAAATATCCTCAATTTTGTCCTCCTTTACAGCTTATAATTATTACATGATTATTTAAAAATGACGCGTGGAAGAGTTTGAGCAGCCTTAAGACCAAATAGACAATGAAAGTTTGGTATCCTCATACCTTTTTGGTAGAATCTCACTACTGGTGATAATTTAGATATTTGGATCAACAAAAACAATAAGAATAAAACAGTTCTAATTAAGCATTTGATATCAACATTCATATTTATTAAAGAAATATTTTAGAGTGGAGCTGAGTAGACTCTTTCTATAAGAAATCTTTAAAGAAGACTCTGTAAGAAATTTTTAAAGCAGCAAAATAAGTGATTTTGCCAGTAACTTTCACCTGTAGAAGTCAGAATAACCAAGCACAGATCCCTTTTCAAACTTTCTGATATTTTGACTTTGCTTCCATCCTTTCTATTGCTTACTCTAGAGATTAAGGTATTACTTCTAATGATAGTCATTTACATTATTTATGTTGCTAATCTCTTGATGGCAAGATCTCTACATGTATCTTGAAATAAAATCAAATGGCTCTGCGCTTCATGTAGAGAATAATTTCTAAGACATATAAATAAAAGGTAATGGACAAAGTTCTCAAACAATATCCAGTTAGTTATTTGCTGAGGAAAGGGAACCATTGCTGAATGCTTTTGAGATTGCTCTTGGAATATAAGGAAAATTTTAATTTATCACAAAAATCTCTAATAAGTTAGTTTAAGATCACAAAATAGATTTAAGTTTTTAAAAATTTTCTGAAGTGATCTAATTCCCCATATCCTTGCATAAATATATATTTATAAATACATAATATATATAATATCTATATGATGCTCCAGTTTGAATTCTTCTTTCAAAAAGATTAAAACAGTTTGAGAGCAGCCTGGGCAGCATAGCGAGACTCCACCTCTACAGAAAAAATTTTTTAAAAATTAGCCAAGCATGGTGGCACACATCTATAGTTCCAGCTACTTGGGAGGCTGAGATGGAAGGATCACTTGAGTCCAGGAAGTTGAGGCAAGGCTGCAGTGAGCCATGATCACCTCACTTGTACTCTAGTCTGGGTGACAGAGTGAGACCCTGTATCAAAAAAAAAAAAAAAAAAAAGTCAAAACATTGGAGCACAATACAATCCACTCTGAATTATTTACTGTAAGTAAATTTTCTTTCTTTCTGAGAGTGAAATACAAGAGAAAATTTTGGGGCAAATGAAATAGAGCCAGAGTTTTAGGGATTAATAAGTCAGTTTCTAAATCTTACTTCTTAAAGGTTGAGCTAGAATGTTAATTTTCATGGTTTCTTGACATTTACTAGAATGGTTGAATTTCGTGTTGTAAAACAGCAGTGGAATCCTTTGAGAGATGCAGTTTACAGAAAAGTTTATGATGGATTGAAGTGTTAAAAGTTAGTACACTTGATTATGTTATATAACAAAGATTTGTAAACTTTTTGAAATTGCTAAAACAAAGTAATCATTAGAGAATATGAAATAGTTTATAGTTATTTATCTTATTTTCTCTATTCATAGTTGCTAATGAATAAAAGTAAGTTGTAAGCTTCATGCTTTAGATGTTTTAAACTTTTTTAGTATATTTGGAAAATATAGCCTGGCACAATGGCTCACGCCTGTAATTTCAACACTTTGGGAGGCAGAGGTGGGAGGATAGCTTGAGCCCAGGAGTTTGGGACCAGCCTACTGAGACCCTGTCTCTACAAAAAATAAAAATTAAAATTAAAAAATTAGCTGAGCTGGGCGCAGTGGCTCACGCCTGTAATCCCAGCACTTTGGGAGGCCAAGGCAGGCAGATCACGAGGTCAGGAGATTGAGACCATCCTGGCCAACATAGTGAAACCCCATCTCTACTGAAAATACAGAAAGTAGCCAGACATGGTGGCGCATGCCTGTGATCCCACCTACTCAGGAGGCGGAGGCAGGAGAATCCCTTGAACCAGGGAGTTGGAGGTTGCAGTGAGCCAAGATGGCGCCACAGCACTCTAGCCTGGCAACAGAATGAGACTCCTCAAAAAAAAAAATAAATAAAAAACATTAACTGGATTGGTGGGCATGGCTACCTGCGTGATCGCCAGCCTACTCAGGAGGTTTGCCCAGAGGTCGAGCGCCTGGCAAGTTAGCCAGCCCCTCCCACGTACTCCAGCCTGGGTGACACACGTGAGGTGATGACCGCTGTCTTCAAAAAAAAAAAGAAAAGTAAAATAAAATGTCCCAAATGGGTTTTTCACGAGTTGGCTTTTTTGTTTTGTTTTTGTTGTTTTTTCCTGATTGCTATGCATGGTTTACGTTTATGTCCTTTATTCTCGTTTACTGTGTTTAATATGTGTATAGAAAGAGGGTTGGCGCCAGGCCTGCCGGTGGGGCTCAACACCCTGTAAATATCCAGCTTTGGAAGGTAGAGCAGAAGGGGATAGCTGAGCAGGGTGTTCCCAAGACCGAGCGCTCGGGCGAGACAGTAGCAAGAACCCCTGTCTCTACAGAGAATCTTAAAATAGCTGCGGTGTGAATGGCATTCGCTGTGGTGCTCAGCTACTTGAAGAGGCTAGGAGTGGAGATCATTAGAACCGCAGGCAGCTCCAAGACCCACAGTGGAGCAACGACATGCGTGTTTTCGAAAAAAAAGAAAAGAGAGTGGTTTGAGAGGTCCATAGTTAATATAAATCATTATAGCTTGTCTTTAATTAGAGTATATATACCAACGATTAATCTTAAGACCGGCTGATAAATATCCCTCTCCTGGCTCCGTTCCTCTATACCTAGAAAGTGGGGAGAAAGAATCAAACCAGGTGCAGTTCTTTGATTTTCTTCTGTTTTTTCTTTAGCAATTGAAAGCACTGCGGTACGTGAAAGAAAAGCAAAGACAGAGAAATGCTTGAGACCAAGCTATTCACTGGCTCTCATTGAAAGTCCTCCCAAGTAGGCATCCGGACCGGCCGAAATTTACAACAAGCAGGCATTCACCCTAGCACCCCCGCCGACCTGGGTAATTCCAAAGTGTTGGAAAAAGTGAACGCCCTCCTGCTTACTTCGCTGTCTCTGAGTGCCTGGGTGTTTTTCTAAGACA